CTCTGGTGCCATCACGGGGGCAGCACTTTCATGACTTTATCTGTCTGTGACTACTGCCCAGAGCTCACATATATATCACATTTAAATATAGACTCAGATTTTTTAAACCAAAAACTGAAACAAGAATATACTGTACACATACTTCAAACGTAACAAAACAAGTATTTTAACTTTAAAAGTAGGTCATAAGGCATCTTTCCATGTCCTAAAAAACATGCAAGAAATTCCTAAAATTCCTGTGAACACTGGATAGGATGAGAAAAGGAGAGCCGAGTTGCTGGTTAGGTCTTTATTTAAGGACATGGAGCAGTGCACACAGTCCCTCAGTTACACACATTTCAGAGAACCAGAAGCAGATGGACGCCTCTCAAGGAGAAAATGACCATCTCCTGCTACCTAATGTGAATAAAATATTAGCATGAAGAAATGTCTGCCGCCACCACGATGAAATATGTTACACCTGAGGGTGGCTCACTACCCAGGACAATGTGAAAAGGATCTGTGCGCAGAAGTTGAGTACCTCTGCCCATCTTAGCTGCCTGTTGAGGATCCTTAGCCCAGACCTGTGAATCACTGGAATAACTGCAGAAATTGCCAAAATAACCTCTGAGAAGCAGATGGTTCAGAAGGCTTCTGTCCAGATGCCAGAACCCCATATGCTTGCCAATCTGTGTTTCCAGCATGCACCATTATACTTAAAATCATATTTTTCCTTTTGCTGCCATGTTCACTCTAGCAGGATTAACAAGGTTCTAATGTTTTTCTAGAAAACAAGAAACACCACGGGCTGTTTGCCTTGTTTTTATAAAAAGATAAGTGAAAAGTAAGTGTCAGACACCTCCAGCCCTCCAACATAACCAGCAGCTTGAGTATTTGGGGCTATCATTGTGAAATGTTCTTGGTGCATTTTTATTTTGACAGTGCCATTGTCCCCTCTGGGCTTCCCAGGCTCCTTAGTACAGGGAAGGATGCTCGCTGGTTCCTCTATGAATCTACCAGTAATCAAAACAAAGTTGTTTGCAAAAAGAAACTCATTTTAGATACTTCAATTCCGAGGTCCAGGAAAGTGTATGATTAAGAAGTAGTTTCTTTACTTGGGAAAAATGGTTAGTTTCCTTAGGCCAACCATACTCAAACTCCAAGACAATGAAATGTTCGCTGTCATGTCAAAGACTGTACTTCCATATGTTAACACAGTGGACGTATCTCCAGGGATCAGCATCATTGGGAGAAATCAACTATTTCCCAAGACCAAGCTGATTGACCACTTTGAAGCTTAGAGACACTATTTCTCAGAGCTCAGTCTTCATAAGGGTTTTTCTATTGACTTGTTTACTTACTCCAGGCCCAGGTTGCTCACCTGCTCTAGGCTCTAACACTATTGAATGGTACAATGCCAAAAGTTCACAATTATGTGCAAATGTATAATGCTCCAGCATAAGGTTCTGAAGCTGTCGATTATAAATAAAATTGTCACATTCCTTCTATATTCTCAGTAATTTGGGAATCACATCTGTGTGTCACCACAGTAGATGGGAAGCACCCATAAGCACTCAACTGTTCAACAAAGAAAAAATGAATGCTGCTTTCTGTGAATATTTGCAATTATAGAATGATATGTTGACTAGATTAGCAAATCTAAAATAGCATGATTGAGTTTCATGTTTGATGTAGGGAGGCAGGGTGTTTAGAAAAAAAGCATTACATTGAGATATGTGAATTTGCTCTATGATTCAAAAGTCAGCATTATAACACTTCAATCACAATTTAATCATCAAGCTGGGAAAGATAATGACTTCAGACAAAATAACTCTTGAAACTGATCTTTCTTTTTGTTTTTTTTCTGTTTTTGTTTGTTTGTTGCTGTAATTGTTGTTTTCACCTATAGCTATCTCAAAAACTGAATGGGGAGATTAGAAAAGAATAAAACAATGTTTAGAAACAATGGGGTAGATTTGGAAATGTTTTTCTTTTGAGTAGATAACATTTTGAGGCAATTTAGTCATTGGGCAACATTTAAACATGTTTAGTATGCAGAGAGCTATTTGTATATGCCTAACATAAAGTCAACATTAGGGATGAAAATTAAAGACAAAGATGGAAGCACATGATTTCTATACAAACATGTCTCCTGCCTCCCCATCCCATGTTTGCATTCCACTTGGATTCTTAAAAATAGATAAATTCAGAAAGAATTTTCTTGCTACAAAATTGAAGCTGAAATTCAGTAATATTAGATATAAACACTTAAGTCCCTAAGCACTTTGTCCCATGTTATTTCTTCTTCCCATGGAAGAGATGGGAAATTCGGAAATACAGATGATAAAATAAGAAATGTTTATGTTGAAGAGTTGGCATTAAAGAGACTGCCTCAAAAAACTGAAAATGAAATTGTCTCAAAGTGAAAAGTTTCTGCAAAACAAAGAAAACAGTCAGCCCACAGAAAAGGCAGCCCACATAGTGAGGGAAAAATCTTTGCCAACAGTATTGATTCCAGGAGGTTAATATCTGAAGTCTATGAAAAACTCTAAATACAAAACACTAACAAAGCAAATTGTTCATTATTAATATATGTGCTACTTACTTGAGTAAATAGTTCTCAAATGCATATGGATAATGAATATTTGGAAAACAATTGAATAACATTAGGGAAATGGAAATACAAATTTTTTTGAGACTCTACCTTTTCCTAGTCCAATGGCTATTGTCACAAAGAGAACTAAGATATACTAGTGAGGATATGAAGAATGAGGAGCCCGTATTCACTGCTGGTAGGAATATAGCTACTGCATCACCTCTGTAAGCCAGAAGGGAGCTTCTTCCAAAAACTGAAGATCGGCCAGCTACACTACTTCTCCTACAGATTGAAAAGAATAAACCAGTTCACCACAGAGATTCTTGCACATGTGTACCCATTGCTATACTATTCACAATATGGAAGGTATAGAACTAGCCTAGATGTCCATCAAAACAAAAATTGATTTAAAAATCCATAGTAGAATTTAATTTAGCTCTAAGGAAAAATAAAAGCATGACATTCACAAGAAAAAGGGTGGAATTGGTGATCATTGTAATAAGTGAAACAAATTAAACTAAAAAAAAGAAATATAAGGCTTTCTATGGTATATGGGATCTGGATTGTGTGTGTGTGTGTGTGTGTGTGTGTGTGTGTGTGTGTGTGTTTTCATGTCATGCAAATGACATGAAAGCAAAAGTGGTCTGTGTAAGGAATGGAAAGAGCTAAAGCAAGGAGGAGGGAGAATGAGAGGATAATAAATATAATAGAAGGGGGGATTGCTTTTCCATAGGAAGGGGATCCACAAGGGTTGAGGAACCATGAGAACAGTGGGAGTTAAAGGACAAATATATTGATATATATGTGTGAAAGTGGCACAATGTTATCCATTTCTTTGTTTACTAACCAAAATATTTTTGAAAAGATCTTTCAGTAGGCATAATGTAGATTTTCAGCAATATATACTATTTTGCCATACGCCAAGACAACAATAAAAAATACCAAAGAAATCTTCAATGAACACTTGGAGCCTTGATGTTACGTATCTCTTTCCAAACAACAAAATACGTAGATATAAGTCCCCAGGGTATGCCCAGAGTCATGACATGCCCCATTCCACTGAGGGCAGACACTCAGACTCCTGAGGAGAGATTGGGAATTTCCCTTGATACAAAACCTGGCATTTACCATGGTTCCTAGTATTTAAATCACTACTCAAATGCAGACATGTGGAAACTAGCAAAAAAGAAAGTGTGAACCTTTGTGCATGCTCCAGCAGCCCACAGCAAGGATCCATGGACCACTGACAGAGATGCTCCACAGCCATTCGGTGAACATCTGCTCCTACTATGTAGTTGCTGAGCAGAGCTCTACAGACATGTGGATTGTACTCCTTGAGAACCAATTTGAAGCTTTGTTTAAATGAAAGGCAAATTAAAAAAATACATACATGTTCTTTGTAAAAATGGAACTAGGGTTAAAGATGTAGAAAAGTGATCAACCATTTGCCTGGCATATATAGGGCCTGGGTTCAATCCCCAGTGATGTAAAAATGGAAAATGAAAAGGACAAACACATAGCTATGTCAATAGTCAAATGAAGCAACTAGTCACATCTAGCTATAGATATATACAAGATTCATATAGTTATTAATTTATTTTTTACATTCCAATTCCAGTTCCCCCTCCCTCATCTCCTCTCTCCCCACTTCTCCCCCATTCCACTTCCCATCTGCTCCTCGGAGAGGGTAAGGCATTCCCTAGTAAGTCTATTAAGTCTGTCCATCATCTCATTGAGACAAGTCCAAGGAACCTCTCCATGCCCCCACCCCTGTGTCTAGGCTGAGCAAGGAATCTCTCCATATAGAATGGGCTCAATCAACAACCCCAGAGAAGCTCTTCCAGAATGTCTCTTCCAGAAACATATGGAAGCAGATGCAGAAATTCACAACTAGCCATTTGACGAAGCTCCTGGAATACAATCGAAGGGAGGGAGGAGCGATAATATGAACACAGGAGTCAAGACTATGATGGGAACCCCAGAGAATCAGCTCACCAGAGCAAGTGAGAGATCAGTGACTCTAGTCTGACAAATGGGGAGCCAGCATAAGACAGAACTAGACTCCCTTAATGTAGGTGCCAATGTTGCAACTGGAACTATGAAACAACTGGCAGTGTGTCTAAGATCTAATTCTAAGATTCATATTTTGAACATCTGTCTCAGAGATGAAACTATTTCAGTGCTTGAAGTACTTCAATAAGTGGATAGAACTGTTCAAGATATCTGATGTCTTCCAGATTTCCTATGAATTTTCTTTAGCAATTCTCTCAGAAAAGCCACTGATATATTAGTTTCACTTGCCACAAGAAACTTGTATAAAACCCTTGGAGATATTCCTCTAACTTCTAACATTTCATCAAAAACTGAATCCAACTTGAACTTGAAAAAAGATTTAGGTATGAAATTCACAAAAATCCACCATAAAATACTTACCTGGCAGGGGAAATAACCACGACCATGAAGATGGTTTTCTCAGGGTAAGGCTTCATCTATTGCACTCCCAGATGTGTTGACCCCTGAGATTTCCCAAAATGCAGGAAACTCAGCTGCATAATTTGTGATAGTAGAGGGCTACATTCGTACTCTTCCCTGTTGAAAGAACAACCCATTGTAAAGTTGAAACTTCATAGACATTGGTCATAGACATCTGATTAAATTATAGATAGGTAGATAGGCATGCATGGATCATATACACTTCTCTAAACTTGTCTTAGATACATGTTACAAATGTTTGTTGCTATATGCACATAGCATGTATACTATGCAAGTGACTGCAAACATATCTCATTTTAACTTCACCAAATATCCCTGCTACCTTTTTAGATGTGCTCAACAACAGCAATTCAGAAATCCTAACAGAACTGAGAGCTGAAGTATGGTAAAGAAACACCTTCTTAAAATCTCTTAGGCATCTTCTAACACCATGGTTCTCAATGTGAGACCCCAGAGAGCAGACTCAGCAGAAGCTGGGAATGTATTAGTAACTCTAAGGAAAGAGTACAGACCATGAATTTAATGACCCCCCCAGGTGGTTACATTATGCACATGAGCACGAAAACCACTGTTTTCTATTGAGCTACAGTTTTGTGTATATGCTAACTTTTTTTTTACTTTTACTTTTGAAGTTCTGGGGACTGAACTCAAGACCTTGCATATGTCAAGCAAAGTCTGTGCCACTGAGTGACAATCATAGCCCTCATACATATTTTAAATAGACAACAATTTGTATGTGAGCCATGACAGTGAAATTTGTAGTTTAACTTTTGTCTGACTTAGAAATATTTATATTTTTATAAAACTGTAAGACAAAATTGATTTACTGGGTAATAAGTCATTTCTATTAAAAATATAGCAATTGGCCCTATCCCCATATATTCAGTAATCATGTCTATATGAAAACCTAAAGCATACTAGATATTTATTTGCAATGTCTCTTCCTTGATTTCAACTTTTTCATTACCACTTTTCTTTAGTTTCTCTCTTGCTACATTGATAAAACACTGACCAAAAGCCACTTGAGGGGAAAATGGTTTATTTTACCTCACAGGTTACAATACATTATAGAGAGAAATTAAAGCAGAACTCAAGGCAAGGAATGAAATGTAACCCTGGAGGAATGCTTCATGCTAGCTCATTCCCCTGACTTTCTCTGCTATCATTCTAATACAGTCAAGCCTGTATTAGACAACACTGCCCACAATGGGCTGGACATTTCTACATCAATTAACAATTAAGTAAATGCCCCCTAGACATGCCCATTATCAATCTGAATAAGATAGTTCTTCAAATGAGGTTCCTTCTTCCCACATCTGTCAAAGGGACAATCTAGGTTATCTTTCACACTACCCTTTTATGTCTACCATGATGGACAGATGCCTTCTGTCTTAGAGTTAATAACACCCCTGGAGAAATCGGCATTGAGTTTGTGATGTAGATTAAACTCCTTACCATTTTACGACAGGGTTATCACAGAATAAGTCTTCCATCCCCCATCATAGCACCGTGTAGAATTTCTCTTTTTAAGTGTTATATGTCTTTGATGACATTTACATCAAAACACAAAATGAAATCAATACTCATATGTCACCCTCAAACAGTTCCAGCACAGTTAATTAAAAAGACGATGGATAAATATGTATATGTAAATTGTAATCATTTGCCACTGTAACTAACTGAATTTGGTATCACAAATAATCCAAATAATTCTTCTCCTGGAAACCCAACAACTCTAATTATGAAAGAAAATATTTTCATTCTATTAGACCCAACTCCTTTAGTAGAAAAACTAATTACATTGTGACAATTGAAATGGGTCAAAAGTTCAGATGACAGAGAGGAGAAGCAGATCAATGAGTGTTCATTTTCCACTCAAGCATCTATAGAGTCATTACATTCTTCTTGTTTCTGATTTAAATCCCAATTAATATAACTAAGATTAAAGCCTAGTAATGGAAAAAAATACACACAGCTATAAAATTTTGTCTTATTAACATGTCGTATATAACACAGGCCACAAGTTTGGCTAACTGGGAGCTAAATTCCTTGTGAATCCATACATGACAGAAGACTTAAAACTTCAATTAATCACAATTTTTGCATTCAAAATGAAATAGTTTAACTGACATGATCAACAGTGTCACACCACCATACAGTAGTAAATATCTCTACTTAAAATGTCAGAAGTACTGAAAAGGTAATATGTACTAAAGTGGTTTTTTTTTTGCAACAGTGAAGGCAATATAGATATTTGAATTCCTGAAGCACAGAAATGGAATATAAAACAAAAGCTAAAAATGAATTAACATGATATCCATGCATATCCATCTCAGTTCTTTCCTTCCTGGGTGAATAATTATAAAATATATAGTGATGTCTTTCCTATCTGCCTTAGTGTCCTCTTCCTCTTCTACTTTAGCAGCACTCACTCTGTGGGCCTGGTACTAGCAACAAAGAAAATGCTTCCTTTGCGATTTGTTTCTCCTCTTAATTCCTCCAGGCCTGCATCCTATTTTCCTGACCTCAAGCAGAATTGGGTTCCAGTCAAGGCTCTCTGCTGCTGAGAAACTGTGCCAAGAGCATAGATTTCTCAGTGAGGTAGAGGCAGGAGTGTGCCTGGAACCACCATCACAGCACCAACTGGGAAGAAAAGCCTCTGTTATGACTCATACTAATGATCTTTACATTTTAATTAGAAATTCTTGAGTTAAGATTACTCACTGAAGCCCTAATGAGCAAGAGGAGGTTTCCCTTCTATTACTCTGCTTTTGGAGTATGAGAAAAAAGCAATAAGCTGACCTGAATCAGGTCAAAGTAAATATCAAGGAAACTCATTAGAACTTTCTGATTTGCTCCAAGCTGAAAATACCAGAAAGTTCCACTTCAGAGCCAAGAAACATAAGGTTAGCAATGAAAATAAGCTACCAAATAAATGTGAAGAACTCTTCTATGTCTCTGTATGTGTATGTCTCCCCAAGTCTCTCTTTGTCTCCCCCTCTGTCTTTCTCCTTTCTCTCTGTCTCTCTCTCTGTCTCACACATGCACATGCACGTGCATACACACACACACACACACACACACACACTTTCATTATATTTCCTATGCCTAAGCACCTACCCTTCCAAAAAGCCCTATGTGCCTTCAAAATACAGAAGTCTAAATCTACATGGTAGATCCAAAGCCTGAATATTTCCCCAAGTTTGAATATTTCTCAAAGTAAATTGAAGGCTCTTTTTCTTTCTTTTTTCTTTTTCTTTCTTTCTTGTTTTTTTTTTTTTGCTTTCTTTACCTAATATCACCAAATACTTTGCTAGATGAACTTAGCTTTCTGTTTGATCATTGTAACAACCAAGATCAAAAGTAGACATTAAAGAATGTTGAGAAATTTTTTTCCTTAAACTGGGGGTTCCTTTTGGAAACAGAGACACTGAGATAAGAATTAGATAGTTTAAAACATATATAATTTTCTTGGGAGAAAGTGAGATTCTGTGGGTTTCTGCTCTCCCACCCACAATAACATCAAAATGAGCATCATCATTAAACTTTTACCACAAATTGGAAGTCATCCAATACAATAGCATCAGCATGAAGTACAGGCTCACACCAAGAAATTACTTTGAGTCCTCTTCAGATAGAAATAGATATCCTAAGACAAGGTATAAGTAAGTAGCTTCTCAAATTTTTCAAATCATTATCATTTTTTCTTGTATTTATCTGGAGACAAGGTCACAAGTAGCCAAGGTTGGCACTTAACTCACTAAGTACATGTAGCCAAGTGTTATATTACTTTTCCTGGTGAGGCATGTACAATTGTTGATTTACCCCATATAGGGCACCAACAAGAAATGATTTCATCAAAGTACTATTTAGTGATCCAATCAATTTACAGAGCACGAATGGCATGCAACTGAGAGGAGCACAGATGACTCTAATACAGTTACACCATCAAAAAGCCCACCCTAACAATGACAAAGACTCAACCGTGGAGCTCTCTGCAAAAGTAGTAGGGAGTTAGGCTAGTCAGAGTATCTATTCCCCATCAGTTGTAACTGCTAATTCCGGTGATATCTTGTTTGTACTCTAACAAATAAAGCTTGCCTGAAAATCAGAGGGTGGAGCTAACCACTAGATGACCATAGAGTTATGGAGATCTGTACAGACAGGCAGTAAGTGAGATGGCTGGGTGGAGAAGGAATATAGATGTGAGGATACAGGAACTCCATCTTTTTTCAGATGGAGAATTTTGTAGAAGTAAGATCTCTAGTGGCTGGCTGCTTTGTTTCTCTGATCTTTCAGCTTTCACCCCTAATATCTGACTCTGGCCTTTTTTATTAAGACCTATTATAACTCATGTTACAGCTAATAATTGGAGGGAGTGTGTGGATATTCTACATTTCAGGAACTTTCTGAGACTAGTGAATTTCCTGCTTCCTGAGCTCTGTAAGGTTTGCCTACTTTCTAAGTTGAGGAGCTTAAATGCTTAATTTTGGAGGTCATTTTTACTCAGTAGGGAGGGTGGCTCTAAAATTTTTATTCTTCTGCTTCTAAGTGCTAGGATATTGGTATGTGCCAAAACATTTGGCCACCTTAGTGTAATTTTAACTCACATGCTTCCTTATTTAAATCTGTGAAATAAAGATTCCTAAAGTGATGTATTCAGACCTTTGTGGTCCACAGTGGTCAACAAATAGATCTACAGGTAACATAAAAATTTGGGAAGAAAAATCAGTGGAACAATTATGTTAATAAGAATTCCAGAAAGTCATAAAATAAGATAGCGATTTTTTTCCTTGATACATATATGGTAATGATCACTGACTGGAAATGTGTGGGCCTTAAGAAAGTGTGCTGGTCAGATCTTGCTACAATTGCTTCACATAACAGAATGTACTTTTTGTTTCTGATGGTGAATTTCCCACCATTTATATTTTTATAATTGTAAGTTTAGTATTTTCTGTTATAAGTTTCACGCAGAGAAAATGTTCCTATTTGAAAATTTGGATCAATGACTCAAAAGAGGTCCAATGATGCATGAAGGTAACATTGACAATAATAATAATTTTGAAGACTAGGAAAATCAGGCAAATAAAAGGG